GAGAGAGAGAGAGAGAGAGAGAGAGAGAGAGAGAGAGAGAGAGAGAGAGAGAAAATTTGCTGATGAAGATATCTTCATTACCTACAAAAAGGGAAAGAAACGAACGCAAAGTAAAAGGAAGAGAAATTACCGTGACACAGCTAAGTCAGAATAGCCAAACGAAAAAGTGGACTCAAAACAGCTCGCAATGGCAGCAAATTGATGATGACAAATGTAGAGCATTATGCCATATATATAGGAAAAGCAAAAGGTGGCTATCAAATAGTGATTTCGATGTGGGACGTTGCAATAATTAGTCTTCGAAAAAGACTCATATAGTTGAAAGGCGGCACTAAGAGTTTGTTATCAACAAGGATTCTGTAGCAAACTTTGAAGACAAATATCCATGGTCAACTCCTAAAGGGATTTGGATAAGTATTAGCATGGTAATGCAGGCTTGAAATAGCTTGGAATTGAGTTATGTGAAAACTTCTTAAGGCCAATTAAATTGCATTAATTATGAATTGAGTTGAATTTCAATTTATGGCCTTATATGAGCTATACTAAACATGTCAAGTGTAGTTCTTAACTAAAATAATAATAATAATAACAATAAGAGTTCTTTTAAATTTCAAAAATCAAAGAGGACATGAGCAAATAATCACAACTCTCATATGATTGAGGATCGGAAACTTTAGTGTTTCAAGTCTTTAGTATTTGTAAGATGATTTGGATCGAGTTTTACGTAAAAAAGAGAAGGAATGACGTTTCGATATTACTTTAATCCTTGTCTTCCAAATTCATCAAAATGTATATTTTGCCAAGTATTGAAGCAGGGGTATTTGTAGGCAATCGAAATTTTATTGAATTTAAATCCATAAGAAATTTGGATTTAATCTCAATTAAATATATTTCGATCTAAATAAATATTATGGGCTAATATAATTGGATTAATTATATAAGTCCAATACATAAAGGTTAAATAAAGAAGTCCATATCTATTGGGCTAGCCTATTTAATTAGACTACAAATTATGAGCCCACTTCATTAGGCCCGATATGCCATATTCCTAGAGGCCCAGTTTGGTACCACGTGTCAAATGACGTGGCACACCAAGTCAAATAAAGAGCCAATAGGATCGTGCCATGTGTCAAAATGATAAGGCATGCCATGTCAAATTAAATGGCCAATAAAATCATGCCACATGTGTAAGTGACATGTTTTGGCCAATCAAATGCGGCCTTGTCACTCCGCAATCTGATTGGTCGGAAAGAGTTTGTTCTCATCACAACTCTTCCTTCCTACAACTATAAATAGAGGTCTTCATAATCAGAAAAGAACATCAGAAGTTATAACAAGAAGACACAAGGGAGCTCGTGGATCAAAGGCCACAATTCTCTGCAAACTGCAAGTGTTCAAACATTTAAGCACTTCAAATACAAAATTCAAGTATTCAAGATCAAGAACGAAGTCAAATCAAATACAAGGCGTTCAAGATCAAGGCTACTTGTTCGTGATAAAATTCGTGGCGACAATCAAAGCGTTCGCAACAGATAAATCAAATTCAAATTCTATGTCAAGCTCAAAGGCCCTTGAATTTATATTGGAAAAGAAGAATGAGAGAATTCATAGAGATTGTACACTCATATTATTTGAAATCAAATACTACGATTATTGTAATATTTTTCAGTCTCGATTATTTTCTTGGCGTAAACTTATTGTCTACAAATAGCATAGCATTTTGGCCATTTCAATTTTCTTGTTGGTGGGTAGGTTTAATTAAGACAGTTTATTACGATTGAGTTATGCTAAAATTAGATCATCATCGGTATAGATTTTCAAAGCTTTTGATCCATCTGATGAAAAAGATTGGCATGTCTTTTTTTTAAATTGATATTGTAGTCTCACAATTAACTTGATTTATGTAAAAGTTTAACCTTTATGGTAATTAACTTGATTTCTGATTTTTGTAAAAGATGTATGTATGTGAAATTACTGTAAAATAAAGTAACTTTCTTTTGAAAAATTTCAAACTCAAATTTTCAAAATATATTTGAGAAGTTAGTTATATTAAAAAATATCTTTTAAAAGATAGGGGTAAGTTGGCAGATTGTTGTCTTTTGGACAATCTAGGAATCGAAATTATTTTTGTTTAGCATGAACTTTTTTTCAAAAAACTCTGTTTCCTAAAATTGTCTAAAGACATAAGTTGGAGGGGGCAAAATTTCAAAACAAGAAATTTGAGAGGGCCAACTGCTCGGCTTATTCTCTACGCAGTTCGCTCGCCCATTGAAAAACCCTCACTATCCCCTGCTGATACTCTCCTTTCCTCTCCTGCTCCGGCGGTGAATTTTGAACAAGGAAGAAGTAGGATACACGCGCCACCGTAGCTCCGTTAGCAATGTCGACAGGCTTTTCATTATCCTCCTCTTCTTCGCCCTTCTCTTTCTCTTCAAACCCGTCTTCTTCCTCCATGCCCACCACTGCCGCTGCTACCGGTTCTTCCCCATTTTCCTTCTCAAACCCTAACCCTAACCCTAACCCCGCCACGTCTTCTCCTTTTGGATTTGGCTCTTCTGCTTCTTCAGCCTCTTCCGGTCCTTCATTTTCTTTCGCCGGTTTCGGTTCTTCTTCTACCGGTGCTTCTACAGCGTTGTTTGGCTTTTCATCTGGTGCCTCTTCTGGTTCCAGTCCCCCACCAGGCTTATTCGGATCTTCGTCCGGTTCGGGTACAACTTCAAACTTATTCGGATCTTCGTCCGGTTCTGGTACCACTACGAACCTGTTCGGATCCACTACATCTGCTAGTGGTTCCCCATTGTTTGGGACAACTTCAGCTACCGCCGTTGCCAATTCATCCCCCTTCGGTGGTTCTGCACTTTTCGGGTCGTCAAGTACACCGTCGCCGGGCTTGTTTGGGTCGGGCTCTGGTTCGGGTTCAAGTTCGAGCTTGGGCTTATTTGGCTCTTCTTCTTCTCTGTTTTCATCACCATTAACTGCTGCTTCTACTGGAACTGCAGCAACTACAACTAGCACTACGTTTTCTTCAACCACTCCATTCGGTTTTTCTGGTTCGGCCCCATCAGCATCCGCATTTTCTTCACCGGCATTTTCGTTTGCCAGTTCAGCAGCTGCCAGTTCAGCATCTTTTGCCCCGTCATTTTCACTGTCAAGTGCTGCAACCACCACTTCGGTATCTTCTGCACCGGGATTTTCACTCGCCACGCCATCAACTAGTTCAGCAGCACCTGCAGCGTTTTCATTTTCCACCTCTAGTTCAGCAGCATCTGCTCCAGCGTTTTCATTATCAACGCCAAGTTCACCTGCACCTGCATTTTCATTATCAGCGTCAAGTTCAGCAGCACCTGCATTTTCATTATCGGTGATAGCGTCTAGTTCACCTGCACCAGCATTTTCCTTTTCGACTGCATTTGGGACCACGCCAGCTTCAGTTTCTTCATCATCACCTTTTTCAGCTTCTACTTCTCTGTCATTTTCAGTTACAAAGGGGGCAGGAAGCTCTGTAACCGCTCCGAGTGCTCCTTCATTGACTTCTGCTTTTGCAATTAATACGTCTTCCTCTACTGCTTCTTCAAGTGCAGCCCCGGTGTCCAAACCTGCTAGTACCGGTTTTTCAATTGCTTCATCGCCTTTGTTTTCGACAGTTACTACTACTACTACTACCAGCATTTCTACCACTGCAGCTGCTACGGGAGCTTCCTCTGCTGTTTCTACAACTAGTGGAACCGGGATTGGTTCATCTCTGACATTTCCGGCATTTAATGCTGCACCCTCTTCTTCAGCTTCAACAACAAGTGCTGTTGCTCCAACCACAAGTTTTTCGCTGTCTAGCAAAACATCTGCATCAACTGCGGCTGTGCCAAGCTTTAGTAAGTTTCACTCATACTTTTGGTTGAATGTTGTTGTCTATATTGTAGCTGTTGTATCATATGATAACTAAACTTGCTTATGATTTGACTATAGTGGCCAATATACTTTAATGGAACCTTAATTGATTAATGAAGTGAAATTAATTGTTAAGGGAACTTCACACCCAGACTGGTGGATTCGTTGTCTATGACTTCAGAAAGTAAAATGGAAAGGCAAAGCAATGCTGTGCTAAACTGACACAGGGAATTGAGGAAGAACTCTTTTGCTCTTAAACTGGGTTGTTTAATCTCAATAGTAATTACAAAACTGAGCACTATAAACTTGATCTGTTAGGATAAGAACAACATTGTGAGATCATATGGAAATCTCTAGAAGAACTTTAATACGTTTTACAAGGACTGATGGTACCACATGCATTAGATAGGGGTGAGGTCTGCGTACAGACTACTCTCCCCAGACCCCACCTATTGGGAACATATTGGGTTTGTTGTTGTTGTTGTTGTACAAGGACTGATGGTAGTAGTCTGCTTAATCGTTTACACATCCTGAAATTAATAGTGCGTCGTTTATCTTCTGTTTTGAATTGCTGTGAATGTAAGAGCAAAATAAATCATTGACTAAGTTATCAAATGTATTTGGCTGCTCTTTTGATGAAAAATAGTAAGTGAGAATACTTTTTGTCGTTTGTAAACATTTAGTTATTACTTTCAAAGAATGAAATTATCACCCTATTTAAGCTCAAAGTAGGGTGAAATTGACCCTCATAAAGCAAACTCTGGTTTGATAATGTCGTTTCCCCCCGGCATCTATGTTACTTTGTCCTGTTTCAAGCACTTCCTAGGTATGGGATTTTAAGTGTCATTTGTTAAATATCATGGTTATTATAAGGTTTTTCCCTTACTCCTTAGGTGTCCCAAGCGCAACTTCTGGTGCTGCAACAAGTTCAGCTGCTCCGACATCATCAGCCTCGACTGTAACTGCTAGTAGTGGGTATGTATTTGCTTTATTGTAAAGTAACTTAAAACCTTTTTAGCTGACTGAATAAAGCCCCTGGGTTATGTCCCAGTGAAGAGAGTTTTGTAGATGAAAAGTGAAAAGTAAATGAATGACTTTGTGACTGCAGTAGATAGTTGATGAGTTCACTTCAGCGTGTGTGTTTGGATGGAGCAGCATTTTTGGTTTTTCTTTGTGATTAATACAGTAACACTGTAATAATTTATTTCAAAAAAGCTTTCGGTCCTTCACGGTCACGCTCCTTCACTGATTGACTTTTCAGATCATTAGGCCTCCAAAGATTGTAGAAAGCTCTATCCAGTAACTGTTAGTTTTTGTATGGCTTGCTGGTCTCTTATTCTCCTCACTGCTTTCTTCTAATTCACAAAATTCCTCAAATCTTGTAAGGAAGTATGTGAGTTCCTTTCTGTCATCGTGAGAACTATCAAGTTTAAAGCTCTAAATTGGAACATATTAGGATTACAAAGGTTAATTTTTGGAGTACCCACAAGCTTTCTATTAGTGTAGGCAATTGGCTATTATGTTTTGAAAGGCGATTAAGTATTATCTGTACAGAAGTATGTAGGTTCTGTTTTTCTTCTTTTTTCTCCGGATACTACCTGTATTGTTTTCCAACATCAGTAAATTCATTATTGTATCCCACCCCAAAAGAAGTTCCAATGATCACAAATAAGTCAATGGGGAAGAAGAAACTAGAATTGCTTGTCAATACTGTTTAATGTTAATCGTGAATTTGTAGAATAGTGCAGCGCTAGTCACAATTAGTCCCCTCAAAAATCACCTAGGCTGGATTCAGTTGTAATAATATAAAAAAAATTGGTTATTAAAAAAAGTAGTAATATCAAATAAGTTCGCTTCTGTCTGCTTCCGTGGTTGTTTTATTTAGTAAAGAGAAGAGTCCTTCTATTATGAATTAAAGAGTTCTGCTTCTCCTTTCCCTACTCATGTCTAACTGTCTAAAAAACACTATTTTTAGAATTTTATTGCAACTAATTAGCGAATCTATTAATCAGTGGAGTTCAAATTTTGCTGTGACCTGCTGTATGTGCATTAGCTTGGCATTGAACCTTATTTTGTTTGTCCCTTTTTCTGCAGGACTACTTCAACTTCTACTGTAGCTGCCACTTCCACACCGAAATTACCTTCGGAAATTACAGGAAAGTCTGTAGAAGAGGTAATATATGTGCTAAAAATTGGTTAGTATGTTTTTCACTATCTTTTCCCTTGTTAATCAAATTCTAGTTTGATACAATGCACTTAGCTTTGGATTACATGTATTGAACTATAGGCTTGATTACTTGAACATGCCTAAGTTTCATTTTTTTTTTGGCAGAGCAATGTTTTAGCAAAAAATTAATTATATGAACATACTTCACAAAGGAGGATAGGTGATAGAGGCAGTAACTTTAGTATTTTCTTGGTCGGTTGTCGAGGCTTTTTCAATGGATTATCACCCATCCCTGTTTCTTGTTGAGGAATTCACTTTTTCCCTGTTAGTTACGTTGTTACCTATTGAACTTATTGCATATTCCTTATTTCAATGAAAGATCATCAAGGAATGGAACGCTGAGCTGCAAGAACGCACTGCAAAATTTAGAAAGCAGGCTAATGCAATAGCTGACTGGGACAAAAGGATCTTGCAGAACCGTGATATTCTTCTCAGACTAGAGGTAACTCGAAGTTTATTTAAAGTCAGCATTCTTCTTTAAATCCCAGATGTAATTCAAGATCTCTGTAAATGCATTTCTATTTTGTATCTGCTGTATTCAGTTAGCTCTTAGCCCCCCAAACCCCCCTCAGGGGTGAGAATATTTTTCAAATTTCCTTGTGTAACAGTTAGGTAGATGTTTCCTATTAAGAGATCTACTCGTATTCTTTGAGATTAATAATGGAGCACTACGTTCATTCTAGTTAAGCTCTGCCGCTAATTTTCTGTTAATGGAGTTACTAGTATGATTTTAGCCTTGTTCTTTAGTTATGGTTTTGTTAAAAATACTTGTAGAAATTGCGTCTTCAGTTATTTTTCATAGGAAATTTGACATCTGCAATTACATTTTTACTATCTCAGAGTGAAGTTGCAAAGGTTGTTGAGACACAAGCCAGCTTAGAGCGACAACTGGAGCTAATTGAGACTCATCAGGAAGAGGTTACTTAATGACCATTATCTTTTCCTGCAATTTGAGTCGTTCATTTCATGACCTATGTCTAATACTTTATTTGATTGTGAAAGCATTCCATGCTTATCTCATCTTGTGCAATTTTAACCAAAATATTGGTGGTAAAATGGTCTTCTGAAGACGTGTTTCCAAATCCTAATTTGGTTGATGTTTCTGGAGTAATTGAATGAGATTCTTTGATACCCAACTTGTGCATACTTTCTAGTGTCAATGTATAATTGAAGAAAGCTGTTATTAGTCGGTATCAAGAGCTATGCCATTCCAGATCCATTAAGGTTGCTACTTCAATCTTATTCATTCTGTTCTGCCTGGGACCACTACATTCCGGTACAAAATGCTTTGCCTTTAAGGCAACTCAGTGGTTCTCTATATCTTATACTCTCTTGCACGTATAACTAGTTTAATCAGAATTAGTTTGATCCTTTGCTTCGTTGTGTTTTAATCATGGTCAAGTATGCATTGATGTCGAGAGATTTTAGGACTTCCCTCAACGTGCTTTATTCTGCCTGGTCCTCAATCATTAGATAGGCCTAATGATCACTCTCGTGTAACATGGTTGTCCCGCTCTATTGAACTTGCCTTTCAATTTTTCAGATATCTTTCTATCCCTAGTACTATGGTAGCGCTACTCAATTTCAGCTGTCATATTTCAATTCTAAGCATCATAGGTCTTCCTACAAAGAATCTGACTAGGGTATGTTAAATTTATAGAGTATTTAGAAGGATTTATTAGTCCATACACCTCTCCCCTGTTTAACAAGGGCATGTTTTGGCGAAATGAATTGTCAATTCAACATATATTTCAAGTTCATATAAGTTTAGATCTTCTGAAATCTTCTCAATCTGTCATCCATGGTTGAGGATGGACTGAGGCAAGGCATAATATTTTTTACCTTGTATATATGATGAGTATTGTGTTAACTTTTGAGTGGATCTTCACTACCTACTTAAGGCAGTGCTTAGCAGTTGCTATGTTTTTTTTCTTGTAACTCCTGGTTTGTGATTTATAGTGATTATCATTTTAAAGGACATATACTATGGTAACAACCCCGTGCATTTGTGATACTCATAGGTAATTAACTTTGTTGATTCTATGTATACACTATGCTCTAACTTGTTCTGGAATGATGTCATAGCAAAAGTTCGTTCTCTTTTTTCTCACTTCTGTTAGGTTGACAAGGCATTGCAAAGCATGGAAGAAGAAGCTGACAGAATTTACAAAGATGAGAGAGGTGTGATTCTTGATGATGAAGCTGCATCAACAAGGGATGCAATGTGAGTGCATGTTTGGTTAATCTTCTTTGCTTCTTGTTTCTTTGAAGCCATCGCATAATGATGGGCTTTCGAAATTCGTATCCAGCTTGTTGATAGTATTAGCTGCAAAAATCTCATTCCATTTCTTTGACTGGAGTGGTGCATTCATGACCTTAAACAAGCACGATAAAATGCATTATGTTGCCGTCTTCTGGTTTCCATTTTAATGAGCCAATTTCAATTGCAGTAATAAAGATGAAATAAGTAACAAGTAATTGAGATAATAAGCCCAGTTTTTCATGTAATAGCAAATGGTCAAGAATTTTTTCGTGGAGCTTAAACGTTGCAACACCCGCTGAGACATTAAATTTCCTTCTTAATAAGGACATGTATGATGGAGCTAAGACTCGTGTTAGGACCGTAGAAGGTGACTCGGAGCATTTTCCGGTGGTTATGGGGTTACACCAAAGATCTGCGCTTAGCCCTTTCCTATTTGCCTTGGCGATGGACGCTCTGGCGCACCATATTCAAGGAGAGGTGCCATGGTGTATGTTATTTGTTGATGATATAGTCTTGATTGATGAGGCACGAGGCGGTGTCGACGAGAGGCTGGAGGTTTGGAGACAGACCCTGGAGTCTAAAGGTTTCAAGTTGAGCAGGATAAAGACAGAATACTTGGAGTGCAAGTTCAGTGACGTGACGGGGAAAACATAATGTGAAGTGAGGCTTGATTCACAAGTCATCCCCAAGAAAGTGAGTGTTAAGTATCTTGGGTCAATTATCCAAGGGAACGGGTAGATCGACGAGGATGTCACACACCGTATATGGGCGGGATGGATGTAATGGAGGTTAGCATCTGGCGTCTTGTGTGACAAAAAGGTGCCACCGGAACTTAAAGGCAAGTTTTATAGAGCGGTGGTTAGACCGGTCATGTTGTATCATGCTGAGTGTTGGCCAGTTAAGAATTCTCATATCCAAAAGATGAAAGTAACATAAATGAGGATGTTAGGTGGATGTGCGTGCATACTATGTTGGATAAGATTAGGAATGAATATATTCAGGCAAAGGTGGGGGTGGCGCCCATGGATGATAAAATGCGGGAAACGAGACTTAGTTGGTTCGGGCACGTGCAGAGGAAAAGCCTTGACGCCCCGGTTAGGTGGTGCGAGCGGTTGACCTTGCCAGGTCTGAGAAGAGGTAGAGGTCGGCCTAAGAAATATTGGGAGAGGTTATCAGGCAGGACATGATGCGACTCCAGCTCACTTAGGACATGACCTTAGATAGGAAGGTTTGGAGGGCGAGTATTAAAGTCGTAGGTTATTAGGTAGTTGGGCGTTTTTCTTCCCCGTTGAGGTGTTAGGCTAGTTTGTTAGTGTCTTGCTTTAGTTTGATAGTAGTACTTATTGTGTTCGTACTGTTTTTCTGTTCCGGTTGCCTAGTACCTTTTCATTGCTCTGATTGACGATACTGCCTTTCCCATATTTATTTTTGGGTTGATTCTTAGGTTGTTGGCACTGTCTTCCTGACTTATTGTTGTTGTTATTGTCCCATTGCCTCTTTTTCATCTCCTTGTGCCGAGGGTCTTTCAGAAACAGCCTCTCTACCCCGGGTAGGGGTAAGGCCTGCGTACACACTACCCTCCCAAGACCCCACACGTGGGATTATACAGGGTATAATCCCGAGTTGTTGTTGTTGTTGTTGTAAACCACCTTACAGATAATTAAGTTAGATAGCATATATATGTGCTTTAGAGTAGTTCCTACGTATTCCAACCAATAAAATGCGGGTTCTTTTTGTTTGGATTATTTCCTCGGATTCTATAGACTTTCCTGATTTAATCTGTTTTGTTAATCACTACGGGTCTCTGGAGCTATTTCTTCAGTAAGATATTATCTTAATTAATTTTTCCTAATCACACATTTATATCATCTGAATTTATTTTCATAATCCAAAACAAATAGGCCCCAAGTATGCTACCATGTAAACAAATTATTTTTATTCCCTTTCGAAGATCCGGCAGCCTCTTCGTTTTATTCCGATTGCTGGATGTGGACATGATGAACATTGAAGCTTGAATGAAAAGAATTGAAGAGACAAGGGAGTTGTAAAGAAAAAAAATGAGGCAATGGGGAAAGAAAAGAAAGGGGAATCGAGGTTGCTTAGTGCTTGGTGTTATACATTTTTCAAGAATGTCCACATCTCGTGCCATGCTACCTTGTTTGTCATGTTGCACTTGTGTACTTTTTGAATTGTACCACGCTATGAGTTTGCCTTGTTTTCACTTAAAAATTTTATTGTCAAAAAATTAGCATTTTTGTTTAGAAAAAGGAACCTTCTTTCTATATACATAATAAGTAACAGAGAATGAAGTATATTTTAAATGCAAATAATTAAGTTTATAAACCTGGAGATTAAAAGTATATATTTTTAGCGGCAATGGTTTCCATGTGAAGGTGATATTATCCATTTGCTAGTGCAAAAATTCGGGCCTTAAAAGGTAACTGTTGATTTGATCTGTCCTTTAGTTACTCCAGCAGGCAGAAGCAAGCTTGTACAATACCTTGTGCAGTCAAGAACTAAACTTTGGTTTTCTTAATTGTAGATTCTTTCTGCCTCTTTTTTCCTCTATAATCCTCCACCCAATTTTGTAATGCATCAATATCTGAGGACTTGGTGAAATTTCAGGTATGAACAGGCTGAATTTGTGGAGAGGGAAATGGAGAAGATGACAGAGCAGATCAAGTCAATCATTAATACACTTAACGCCAGCCAGGTCTTGTACCTTCATTTGTTTCTGCTTCCATCCCTGACCTTAGCATTATGACTAGATGGTGTAAAGTTTATACAATATGCTGGTTATATATTTTTATGTTTATTTTTCTATTTCATTTAGGGTGGAGAACTTGAGGCACCAGATGGAATGACACCGCTTGATGTTGTTGTTCGAATCTTAAACAATCAATTGAGTTCACTGATGTGGATTGATGAAAAGGTGAACATTGCCTCTCATGCTTTTTCTGGCTCTTGTTTTGTAGCCTAAAAATGAAATCAGAATGAAAAGTAAGTACGCTGGATTAGTAAACAATGATTGGAGAGAGGTGGAAGAAAAGAAAAACAAGGGAAGTCTTAGTCTTTCAATTCGATCTTCCAGATAATCTTATGGAACAAAAATGGCGATATTGTTCTGTATGAGTCAAGAACTTTTATATTTGTGAAATAGATATTGTGAGGAGACATTGCCATCCCTAATACAGTTTTTAACAGAGAAGATTAATTTATAAAGTAATTTAGTGTATGTGGGGTATTAGCAGCTGTTTGACAATTCAGCTGAAATCGTACTCATCTTTCCTTTACATTTCTTTTTGGATCATTTTGATGATATGATGCTAAAATGCCTCTTTTATGATTTTCTTAAGTGTCCTTGATATTGCATGGTAAGGTAGGGTATGATAGGCACTTGTAAATACTAAATCGAAGAATCATTGATCTTGCAGGGTGAGATATACTAATCTAGTAAGTTTCTAACTATTTAATTCAATTTATTATCCATTTTAAATTCACAAGCACAAGAGAAAAATCTATAGATAGGACAAGGTTTTGAATTTAATTCTTATGGATAAACACGAAGAGTCTAGTTTTGGTTAGAGGCTAAAAAGGTATTGCCGAAAATCAACACTACATGTGGTTCAAAGATTTAGGAAGGCATCACCACCTCGACTTGTCAATCTGATGAATTATAATTGCCGGTGGGAAATCACTTTCTTGAGGCCTGCGGTTATATTCCCACGCATCTACTTTAGGGCAAAAGGTCCATTATACCTCTCTACTACCCCAAATTGTACCTTATGCCCAAAGATTGTTCTAGCAAGCTAACTAAATTCTGTTAAGCACCACTCAATTTTATTCAGGTATCTGTTAATTTGTCATAATATGTAGTTGCATGTCAAATGACCTTGACTTAAGAAGCAATAATAGGTGCTATTCTGCCATTTCATTTTCAGTTTATCTTTGTAGATTCATTGCTTCTGTCTTGGCGTAACTAGTAAAGTTGCAGCCATGTGACCAGGAGGTTAGGGGTTCAAGCCGTGGAAAGAGCCACTTGCAGAAATGCAGGGCAAGGCTGCGTACAATATACCCTTGTGGTCCGGCCCTTTCCCGGACCCTGCACAACGGGAACTTAGTGCACCGGCTGCCCTTTGTGTAGGTACAACTGAATTTGTACCACCCAGTGAATGCTTTAGGGATCTACTATTACTGATACTGATTAATACATAGTCCTACTTTACCATTACAGGTCTGTTATCTACTCTTCATTTGTGAATAGATTTTATTTTGTTGAAGGCGTCGCCTAGATGCAAGTTTAGACTTGAACCCAAACCTTAATAAACTGAATATAGAGGAGTTATGGGTCTTTCACCTTAAATATCAGAAATTAATGATACCATTTACATTTGTTCAGGCTGAAGAATTCTCTTCTCGTATTCAGAAGCTTGCAAGTGAAGGATCTGCTGCCAATCGTGAATTAACGGGCCCTAAATTATGGTTGACCCGATGATTGGTGAACTCTGCCAGGTGCTGTGAACAGTGTCATGTGGAAGTACAAATCTGAGGGAATCTCTCGTCTTTTGTTGGATCTCTTATTCCAGCTATGTGTATGCCATTAGTTTTCAGCCAGAGATGTTAGATCGTGATACTTTTCAAAGGCCTTACATCTGAGTGGTGATTGAAGTGTTTCAAAATATAGTTTTCTGAAATGGTGCTTAGTTGTGCTCAAAATCTTCCTTTGTTTTTTGCCTATTGCTCTCAAGACACTGATGATTAAATGAAATGTAGAGGAAATTCAGGAAAAACTAAAATTAACAGATTGTATTGTAACATCTGGTCTCATATGAATATACTAAAAGGTTGAACATACTTCTTCTTGCATCGCCTCACCCCTTTTTTATTCTTTTGTTTGTTTTGAAATTGAGTGATCTCCAAACTGAAGCATAGAAGTATTAGTGATGGTTTAGTTGATGAAGAGCCCAGAACGAATTAACAACTCTCCCCTTCCCCCTTCAGTGATACCATTCAATTTGGGATGGGAAGGAAATTGATAGTGATTTCCATCACAAAAAGAACTATGGAAAGAATGAACTACTGTCAGAATAAGAGTAATATCTTAAAAACCGGAGAGGGAAGCAATTGTGAGGGTTCTAACTTCTGAAAAGCTGCTCACAATACTGTTTTTCCCCCCTCTATATCAAAGCATGCAGCAAATTTATTATCTAAAAGACCCATAAGTGATTCGAAGCTGATCAAGATCCTTGGGTTCTTGTCAGGACCACAATCAACAACAGAACAACTGATAAAAGGAAAGAAGATATAATCTTCTCTTCCAAGAGATCAGACAGTTCAGAAGTGGGTTTTTCTTTCTTGGCAGGTTCAAGTATTTCATTGAATATTTCACTCAACAACGATCCCAGTGATTGGATCAGCTCCGCGAGCTTTGAAGTTGTGATGCCCATAATCCATTTCACTACCAGGGATCCGATGTCTGACTCCTCAGTTGAGCTTTGAAATTCTTCCCCTTCAGCTGTATAAAAAGAGTAGAAGAGTGAAAACAACAGCTTTTCATAAAACATGTGTACACCCTGCCCTTCCCGGACCCACTTGTGAGATTTCACTAAGAAGACTGAAACAATTGGACTCAAACGGGAAAAGAAGAAACTATACACTGCTGAGCATATGAATTTCCTTTTATTTCTCACGGTGAGTATAATGGTTACTTGCATATGTTGATTCTTAAGTGTTGCCATCTCAAATCCGAGCATTCAGACCTAGAAACTCCTTTAATTCTGACCAAAACTAAACTAAATCAGTGCACTTAATTAAATGTTTTCGTATAATAAGCAATAAAACTCCAGTTTGAAAAAAAACAGCTTAAGTCAATACTTTCATGCTTGTATCCATTTGTACCCTAATGAACAAAAAGGAAAGTGTTTACAATGAGTTAAGAATATGATCAATGTAAACCTGCACATATCAGTGAGCCTTTCAAATTCTGAACTGCCTTGTTGTTCATCATAGCTTCCCAAACAGCTCTATCACTAGCTAAGGAAACAACCAATCTCTACATGCAAATAAACTCCCTTCAGATACATATACATATACATATACATATATATAGATCAATGACAGACATATCAAATGCAGGAATAAAATGTCACACCTGAATTGGTGGTTCATTTTTAAGCATATGAAAAGCATCATAAAATCTTGCATATCCATGGGACTGCAGCAGAGTCGACTGATGTGGATTTAGCATCGCTTTAGGCCAATTCATCTCTTCTTTAGGATCATTACACCCACTCATGAAACTGCAAAAACAGTATAATAGATTCAGACAAGTAATTGTTAGATCATGCAAACTGGGAATAGTGTTGAAAGGCTCTAATTACCATACCATACTCTCAATTTTTTAAAATTTCGGATTTGGGAGAATGGAATTCTTTATCTTTTAATATTAGTGAGTTTGGAAGACTCATTATAGCTTAAATTTATCTTGCTGCCATATCAGCATGAGCATTAGCACATGAAAATATGCAAGGGGAAATGGATTTCAGAGTTGATAATTTAAACCATTCAATTAACTATCTATCCGATACTAGCAAGATTTGGCTTCATAAATCCTCTATATCTACTTTTCTCTCTTCGGTATTTAAAGATTCGGTCATAATTTGGCTTCCTTGAACTGAGTTAGGGGTAAGGTCCGTGAATACACTATTTTCTCCGGACCCATTTGCGTATGTTGTATCGATATCTACGACAAACTCACAAAAAGAAAGTTATTGATTTGTCAAAGCACTCCAATAAACTATCCCAAAAGAAGAAAAAAAGAATCAATTAGCTTTCTCATAAAAGCAAAGATGACTCATTTGATCATTTTACCTTTGGAGATCAGACATGGCCTTTTCAACCTCCCAGCTAGATGGCACAGAACCAAATACACAGTCATAAGGAGACCCTGTTGTTCCTTTCTCATCAAAAGATTCAATATCAAGAGTCTCAGTTCTTGGCTCATAATCAAAACACCGATTCTTGACCCAAGATTCTTCAAAGGATGTGTTACAAAATGATGACAAAGAATGGGGAGAACTGAAACTGGAAGAGTTGTTGGATTGTCCTACTGTACTTGTAAATGGTGTCAACATGGCTCCTCCCCCCATGTTTTGGTTTTCCTCTATCCTTTTAAGTCAACTCTCAGAAGTGAGATAGTGTATTAGTGTGGGCTGAAGATATCTACATCTTTCGTAAGAATCAAGAAAAAGGGAGATGTGTAACATTCTTGTTGGTGTTAGATAAGATATTTTAAGCCAATAATCTCGGATATTACTATATTTGAAACAAGTCACCACAGTCCGTATATGTAATCACAGCAAGTAAATTTAACTCTATGATAACCACAAATTAAAGTTAGGTTGGTTATTATCTTTTCTCTTCATTATGAATACATGATAAGAATGTTTGTTTTTGCTCTCTTTGATCATGTATCTTAGTGAAAAGTTTTTCCCTTATAATGAATCGGTGGTAATTTGATATGAATTTTAAATTATTTAATCTGAATTTGAAGTATGTTATTTTTCAAAATGTTATGAATAACGTGTAACGACATTATATTCACTTAAAGTATAAAGATATGTGAATAGATACTAAATATTTTAAAAAATATAAATCAATAATTTTTTTTTTTTATGTACAAAATAATACATTTATTGATTTGATATTGTACACGCTTGTGAGATAAATTTTCAATCTAACAGTGATGAGGTTCTTTATCTCAGTTCATAAAAGATATTCACACCAAACAGTTAGGATTATGAGTTGCCAAGTATAAACCTTAATTAAAGTATTTTGGTGAAGTGCTAAATTTTACAAAGACTCGAAAGTTATGTAAAAAGTAAAGTAATTTTGCAAAGTGCTTTTTTTTTTTTAAATTTTCGCTCGATGTGCGATACCCGCATTAGGATTCAATTATATCCGGATTGGCCCCGGAAGTTGCAATGCGAGGTAAAGCAGCGAGCAGGTAGATTTTAGCAAACGATTTGACCCGCTTCGAAGTGAAATCCGGCCCGTTTTTATTCTTCATAACAGCATTAAGGAAAAAACCTCCGTACATTTCTTCTTCACAGGAGCAAAATTTCCACCAGGGTTTTGGTAAAACCCTAAACCCCCAATGGCTCGGTCAGCTAGATCCTCTACGACGCGCCTACTCTACAATCTCTGCTCCTCCACCAAAACGACGACGCCGTTGAATCCTCAACACCCACCTCAATCCCCAATCGCCGCCTTATTGGCCGGAAACTTCCAGCTCCGCCACTACGCCGCCGCCAGCACTGCCACCGCCAGAGTGAGAGACGAGAAAGAGGCGGCATGGAGAGAGTCGCTTGAAAAAGTACGGAATATTGGGATTTCAGCTCATATTGATTCCGGTAAGACCACATTGACGGAGCGGGTACTGTTTTATACGGGTCGGATCCATGAGATCCATGAAGTTAGGGGTAAAGATGGAGTTGGTGCAAAGATGGATTCCATGGATTTAGAAAGAGAAAAAGGGATTACTATTCAGTCTGCTGCTACTTACTGCACTTGGAAAGACTATCAGGTATTAAAAAAAAATACATTCTTTTTCACCTTTAAAAGTTTTTACTAATTATTTTGATTGTTTATACTTGTTTATTTTCTTGCCAGAAATTGATTAGAACAGGGAAATGTGGTTGAACAAGAAATTTTTTGAAATTTGGTAAATGGTTGATTTATTGAAGCTGAATTGCTAAGAGTAGCTGAAGGGTGCATCTTGTGATCTATGAATGACTCCAGTAATCGTATTATTTAGCATTCTCTATTTGCAAGTTTGATTCTTTGATCTTAAAATTTCTGTCTAGACCTTCTTGACTGTCGAGAAGTATTGAAAATACATTTCTGAGGGAGGAGAATTGTGAAATTCTGAAAAAAGTGATTTTTTTTTCAAGTTTAAAATGGTATTTGAAAATTAGAGATGTGTTTGGACATGATTACAATTTGGAGCTGTTTTTGAATTTTTGTGAGTGCTTTTGAAGTGAAAATTTTGAATAATAGCCTTTTGGAGTTTTTCAAATTCCGAAATTCAACTTCAAGTTCATAGCCAAACTTTGATTCCGAAAAAAAGTGAATTTTTTTCCGAAAAAAAAGAATCTTTTTTATGGCCAAACGGATTTGGTAAAGTTATAGAGCTGATGGAGATATCTGGGGCTCGTTTTATGGATATCATTAACCCATTTTATTTAGTCAACCCGAGGTGGCCTAGGGACTCATGATTTTCCCAGTTGCTTCAGTGATCAGTTTTAACCAAAAATTTCGTTTTCTCCACAAGACAGTATTCAGCAACTTTCGATTTCCTTCTTCGGAGTACTAATCGTGGCTACTATGAGATTCATGCACTAACATAAAAATAAAAATTGAAGTGGTCCATGTTACCTAAATTGCTTGGACTGAGCCCACCTTTTGTTGCCTCTCACTAGAATAGGGATGGCAACGGTGCGGGGCGGGGCGGGTTTCAGGGATTGCAGGGCGGAGCGGGTTAGAGTATTTGCGGGTGCGGGCCGGGGCGGGTTCAGATTATTTTTTTAAGAAATCAGGGGTTGGGTATTTAAGTCTTTTGAACTGAAGACCTAAAAGGATGTTTCTCCGGTCTCTATACTCTCTACGTCGATCACAAACTCACTGACACAATCATGAAGTTGAATATTTTTCTGTTTACTTTAATTTTTTTTTTTTTTATAAGAATTACAATTAACTGTTTACTTCTTTTTCTTTGACTGAGGGTACACTTGTACCTTTACCATATAGGAGTATTAAATAAAACACCTTTTCCAAATTTATTTGCAGAGCAATATTTTTTTTTTGTTGCACAATTAACTTTTTTATCCCAACATTGTGAAAGAAATTCAACGAGTGTATATGGCAAAGCATCATTAGCAGTACTTAAATAAAGTTTTGGTTTGAAGTCTTTCGTTTTTTTCTCTTTTATACCCTTTAACTCAATTGAATATTCATCTACTTCTTATAATTCACATCCGAAAAGGCGAAAAAAATGTTCGATCTGCTATGTGGCTTCTTGATTTTGTTTCAATCTGGCAGAAAATTCATTCTAGAAAAGAAAAAGAAAAAAAATATTATGCAGGGCGGGGCGGACTGAAAACAGCAAATTATGTACGCGGGGTGGGTTGAAATTTTTGCGGGTTTATGCGGGTTTGCCCCGCAACCGCCCCGCCCCGTTTGCCATCCCTACACTAGTGCGGAATTTCTTAGATGTTGGACTTCAGATTATGGCAATGTAATACAATCTGTGTTTTCAAATAGCTGGTCATCGGATCAATTTTTAAACTGTAGAAGACGCATGTTGAATCCTCTAGAGGTAGCAAGTTATACATTAGGGTTATTCCTACTGCAATTTAGACCAATCCGAATGGTCAATGGAACTTTCAATCTATTAGTGCTGGTTGGTGTTATCACCTACAGATTATAAGGAGGTAAATGAAGAAAATGCGAGGAAAATTGATTTCCCGTCATATTTTTGTTGTTGTTGTTGTAGCTGCTGGTGAATACACAGCAATGTGAAGAATATGCTTAGAGCATTTTGTGGGGTCTGCTAGAAAATGATTTGTCATGCCTATTCCTTTCTAGTATTTCCATGAATCAGTTCTCTGCTTTCCTTTCTCCACATTTCAGTTAAAGGGCTAATCTTGCTGAAGTAAATAATCAACTGAATCATAGTAGGTTTTTATTCGACATTTGTGCTCTATATAAAGAACATAGAGCAGCCATGGAATAAATGTCGCTTATATGAAAGTTTGATTTTCCTGCCTTTAGTGATAGATCCTTTATTATTTTGGGCAGGGAAAAACAAAAAGATAGAAATTTTTTATTTTCTATTCAACAAGGATTAGAATGAGATTGTTTTATTCCTTATCAATTTTTTGATAAAGGAATAGTAAAAATGTATTAGTTTTATTCTTTATTGTTATCCTATTGACGAGGCAAGTCAAATGAAACGGACAAAAATGAGATTGTCAGGACTGGTTAACAAGAGATTCTTGTTGGGTGCTTAGTTTATTGAGCTAAGTGTGACTGATCCAACCAGATAAGTGTAACATTATTGTAGCTTCCGCTTCCTATTTCTTTTCATGGGTTTTCACTAGGAAAGATTAGTATAATATTGCATGCATATGTTTTCTCTTTTCTGAGGCGAGCCCATTGTAATAATACTCAGTTGTTTACAACAACAACAACAACCCAGTGAGTTTCCACAAGTGGGGTATGGGGAGGGTAGAGTGTATGCAGACCTTACCCCTACCCCGAAGGGTAGAGATGCTGTTTCCGAAAGACCCTCGGCTCAAGAAAACGAAAAGAGACAAGAGAGACAAGAGAGAGACAAAATGTAGTACCATCAGCAGAACCATTGAGCAATAACAACATAAGAACTAGAAAATAAATGAGAAATAATAACAAAAACCAGTGAATAAAGCCCGATACTATGAAAAACGAAAGAATAGTGTGGACACAACAATAATCGTAGCAGCCTAGGACCCAACCTTATCAGACCAGCCTCCCCCACGGATGAACCTTATCAGCTACCTCCTATCCTAACATCCTAATGCTCGACCTCCGCACCTTCCTATCAGGGGCCATGTCCTTGGAAATCTGAAGCCACGTCATGTCCCGCTTGATCACTTCTCCCCAATACTTCTTAGGCCGCCCTCTCCCTCTTCTCGAACCCGCCAAGGCCAACCGCTCACACCTCCTGATCGGGGCATCCGGGCTTCTCCTTCGCATGTGCTCGAACCATCTTCAGTTGTAATAATCCTCAGTTGTTTGGTTAGTAGAATTTTTTTTTGGTCACAAGTTTCACCTGGTCAAATGGGCCAAAGTAACTCAACCAAAGGACCTCGGTGGACTTGGAATAAAAGACTTGGCAAAACACAACAAGAGCATGCTAATGAAATGGCTTGGGAGATTCGGGGAGGAAGATACCAGCCTATGGAAGAAGGGAAGAAGGTGGTGACTGCTAAGCATGGACTACAAAGCCACTGGTATACTAAATTCAGCAGGTCTCCTCATGGTGTTGGCCCATGGAAATACATCAGTAGCCTTTGGGAGGATGTAGAGGATTTTTCACAGAATATTTCATTCAAGGTGGGTAATGGGTTACATGTTAGATTCTGGAAAGATATCTGGTTGGACAGTCGCCCACTAGAAGATAGCTTTCCACTACTGTTTCAGATTGCTAGTAATCCCAACTCTACAATAAGTTAATTCAGATCAGGAAACTCATGGGTCCTACTTTTCAGAAGGAATATGCATGACTGGGAGTTACGTAGTTTGTTTACATTGCGACTGGGAACCTTCACTATGAATGAACAGATCCCTGACAGAATCAGATGGGTTGGTTGTGACTCAAGTCCATATTCAGTGAAGATGGGCTACAGACTCATATGTGAGCATAATGGAAACATTGACTCGTAGCCTTGGAAGCTCATCTGGAAGACAAAGCTTCCAACAAAGGTTATCTGCTTTACTTGGACTACACTTAAAGAAGCCTGCCTAACTCAAGACAATCTCTGCAAAAGGGGCTTTCAGCTGGTAAATAGATGCTACCTATGTCAGCAAAGTTCTGAGTCAATCAACCACCTATTCTTACATTGTCCAGTGGCAACATATATGTGGTATATGTTTCTTTCTATCCTGGGAATAAGCTGGACACAACCACAGGGAATCAGGGAAGTAGTGGAAGGTTGGAGCAGCTGGAAAGTTGAAAGGGCATCAAGAAAGTCTGGAAGATGATCCCAGCATGCATTCTTTGGTGCCTTTGGCAAGAAAGGAATTGCAGATGCTTTGATGGCATTTCAACTTCTATACATGCTCTCAAAGGCAAATGCCTTGTGCAACTATTTAGTTGGAGTTTTCTAACACCTGTAAATAATGTAATTCCTCTTCTAGATTTCATTGGATCTCTGAGTCTAGCTTAACTCAGTTATATCCTTACTTTTGTTTTTTGAGTTAGCTCACTAAGCAGATTAAGTCTATTGTTGTAATGGAGCTAACTCAATTCCTTCTTGTAACTTTGCATCTTCTGGATGCCTGCAATGAAGAATCTTATTTCATAAAAAAAAAAAAGAATTCTTTTTTGGTAGATTTGTGGTTCCAGTTTTTAATTTCTGCTTGTTGCAGGTGAACATAATTGACACACCAGGTCATGTTGATTTCACGATTGAGGTGGAAAGAGCCTTGCGTGTTCTTGATGGAGCCATTCTTGTCCTTTGTAGTGTTGGTGGTGTCCAAAGTCAGTCTATCACTGTAGATAGGCAAATGAGAAGATATGAAGTTCCAAGACTTGCTTTTATTAATAAACTTGATCGGATGGGGGCGGACCCATGGAAAGTTCTTAACCAGGTCAGCTATGCATCATTGAAGGCCTATTACATTTCTAAAGTTTAATTCAAAGCTTATTTTCCTTTTAAGTAAGTTAAATTTTGTTGCTCTTTAATTTGTTGCTTGTTGCCAGGCGACATTTCTCTTGTTGCCTGGTATTTCAGAGAAATCGCAAGCAGCCAGGTTCATTGTCATCATGCGTGAAGGAACTAAACATGAATTTGAGTGCCAAATCAGTAGACCTCTAGAAAACATTTAAGGCGGGGAAGCCAGTGTGTTCATGCAGCGTTCATGCTGAGGATCATCGTCATAGTTCTTCTGTTAACTGAATTCCTTTATATCTGTCAATATAAAAAGTTGGACAGTTAGGTTGGGGTTCAGAAAGTCTTGTCTTTGTTATAAGCATCTGCTACTTGATTCACTGCTACCTCTTACTTTTTTGTGTGTGTTTGCCTGATTCTTTGGCAGGGAACACTTATTATTGTTATGGACCTCTATTAAAATGCTTTTTTCTTATATGCTGCTCAGCATCTTGTTATCATTGATATTACGGAAAAGGGCCAAAAATACCCCTAACGTATTGAAAATGGCTCAAAAATGCCCTCCGTTAACCTTTTGGTCTAAAAATACCCTTAATGTTTTATTTTTGGCTCACATATACCCTTGAAACTAACAAAACATGGATGATAAATTTTTGGCTCACCTTCCATCAGCATACCATATATTCTTTTATATGTGTTTTATACCACATATATAAATTATATATACACATCATAATACATGTAAACAAAAAAAAAATATACCATACATATTCTTTAAAGTTGTGTATTTTTACCACTATTATATAATTTATCATATATACTATTATAATAGAAAATATATAAGAACCATCAGTCGAAGTTATAACATGTTAAAATAAGGGAGCGGCTCCGCTCCATTACAATTTGCTCCATTAGATGTCAATATAGCTTTAAATAACTAACATGTGTCCTTGTTAATTTTTAAAGGATAAGGTTTTTTTATTTATTAATTCTCTAATGGTTAAGTTTCTATTGATAAACAAAAATAAATATGTGAATGGCCCGTCAACATCATGTTCTTCCCCATATATATATATATAAATTACTTTCTGGGGAAGAACATGATGCTGACGGGCCATTCACACATTTTTTTTTGTTTATCAATAGAAACTTAACCATAATAATAATAATAGAGAATTAATAAATAAAAAAATCTCATCATTTAAAAATTAACAAGGACACATGTTAGTTATTCAAAGCTATATTGGCATCTAATGGAGCAGAGCCGCTCCCTTATTTTAACATGTTATAGCTTCGACCGATGGTTCTTATATATTTTCTATTATAATAGTATATGTGATAAATTATATAATAGTGGTATATATAAAGTATAAAATACACAACTCTAAAGAATATGTATGGTATATTTTGTTTCTTTACATGTATTATGATGTATATATATGTGGTATAAAATACATATAAAAAATATATAGTATATTGATGGAAGGTGAGCCAAAAATTTACCATCCATGTTTTGTTAGTTTCAAGGGTATATGTGAGCCAAAAATAAAACGTTAAGGGTATATGTGAGCCAAAAATAAAACATTAAGGGTATTTTTAGACCAAAAGGTTAACGGAGGGCATTTTTGAGCCATTTTCAATACGTTAGGGGTATTTTTGGCCCTTTTCCGTTGATATTATTTCTTACTTTGCTGCTTTCCTCTAGAACTTTGTTATGTGAATTCTGAATAACAGTCTAGCACATTGAAATTTTGAAGACAATCTCTTATACTTGTTCTGTTTCCTTCTCACACAGGCAAGATCAAAGCTTCGGCACCATAGCGCTGCTGTGCAAGTTCCAATTGGGTTGGAAGATGACTTCAAGGGTCTTATTGATCTCGTGCAGTCGAAAGCTTACTATTTCCATGGTTCCAGTGGGTCTGTCTCGAGCTAAAATATGTTTGTTAGATATGATTGGTACATTGCTCTACTTGGTCATATTCATTTTTGGCTTTTGCAGTGAGAAGATTGTCACAGAAGATATTCCTGCTAATATGGAAGCAATTGCTTCTGAGAAGCGGCGAGAGCTAATTGAAGCAGTTTCTGAGGTTGATGATAAGCTTGCTGAAGCATTTCTGAATGATGAGCCTATATCATCTGCTGAGCTTGAGGTCTGTACACAATTATTCAACGTTGTTTACAAGGAAATAACAACCTTCTTGTGGGGTGCTTTTGAGTTGTTGCTTTGAGAAGTCTACATTCTGTTTAAGACACAAGTGTTTCTTTTCCAAGTAGTAAATTTTGATAGATGTAATGGGTGGCAGGTAAATACGTAATTTCAATTATTGAGCGAAACTTGCAAGCTATGGTAATCATGTCGGGGATAGAATTAAAAGTGACTGTTTCCTGCCGCTTAACGTGGTCATTGTAGATCTTGGAACTATAGCAGTTGAATGCTAGGTGGGTTTTCAATTGAGCAAGCACAATGACGGAGATTTGGTGATAGTTTGAAAGGATACCTCCTTTCTTTCGCATAATGTTTTTTTCTGTACCATGTTAAATATGTGAGCATGGGACTGGAGTTGAGATGCTTTTGTGGTGGACAGGGTTATTTACCACAACTAGGTCAATTGGTTGCGAACAGATTTTTATACGACTATATGCTAAACCTTATCTTTTAACATGGACTATATAAAAGTGTTTAACCTACATTAATGTCTATAATTAATACAATAAGTATTGCAGTACTTGGTATTGGTATGGTAATGTACTGCTGCTGGATCTTTGAGTATTGACCTTATCTAAGTAATCCTAAGCTCTTTGGGACATCTATTCTTCCCTTACCTATTCTATAATTTTCTTTCTGTGTTCTCCAGGCAGCCATAAGGAGAGCGACAATAGCACAGAAGTTTGTTCCTGTTTTTATGGGCAGTGCTTTCAAGAACAAGGTGCTGTTTTGTTCACTGATTAACCTAATATGGAATGGACAATTTTGATCTGAAATTGATAATGGCTATATGGCTTACGTGTAGATCACTTAAGTTACATAAGTTTTACCTTAATTATTATTATTTTTTCCCACTGTAAACGCCAGGAGGTCAATGGTGTAATTTTTCTTCTAGAAATTACTGACCGCTTCCTTTTGTTTGGGTCAACCTCGTCAAATTGAAAATTAATATCAACTGAGATTCTGACTAGCTGTGACCATGTTATACTCTTCTCGAGACTGAATCCTTAATGATTACAACTGTGAGGCAAACAGTACTCTCTCCTTAATTCACTCTTGCGTTTGACTACTTGTTTTGTGGTAAAAATGTTCTCCTTGCTCGTGGTTTTTTATCCTATATTGGCGTATATCTTGTTCATGCCTGCTTGCCGTTCTAAAATTCCTGGTGTTGCTTGGCTATCTTTTCTCTGCTGATGCTTGATTTGGCACAATTTAATGCTCTATTCTGTTCTTGATTTTCAATTAACAATTTTCGGCCTGCCTTCAATTTCATCCATTCAAAGACACGTGTTGTAGTATCCTAAGGAAAGTGACCAGTTGCTGCATTTTATTGCCTTTTTTCCTCACTATTTTTACCTATCGTGTACAAAAGCCTTTTTCTTCCTTAAATGTATAATTCCCTTATACTTAAGTGGTTGCAATTTTACATCTGTACTTTCTGTTGTTTTGTGCTAAACAGGGAGTTCAAACACTTCTTGATGGTGTTCTCAATTATTTACCTTGTCCAGTTGAAGTTAGCAACTATGCGCTGGATCAAACAAAGAATGAAGAGAAGGTTAGTGGATAATTCTTTTCATTGAGTTCCTACTTTTTCCTTTCCTCCATGTACAGATGTAGAGACTAACGTCTTTTTGTGCTAATTTGTTGCTAGGTTACATTAACCGGAAGCCCCACTGGCCCTCTGGTTGCCTTGGCATTTAAATTAGAGGAAGGGCGTTTTGGTCAATTGACCTATTTAAGGTATATAAACTTATTTCTTGTGTAACTGTTTCTGTGTATGTGCACTTAGCAAGAACACACAATTTGACATAATCTTCCATCAAAGAATCTATGAAGGTGTCATCCGGAAGGGCGATTTTATAATCAACGTGAACACTGGGAAGAGGATTAAGGTGAGCTCAATTGAACTCATCTTTCTGATATGGAATCAGTCATTTTGAGCCAAAATATCTCATGTCAGTTTAGCATCTGAATGCATTGCCTTTGACCTTATGGTGATTTTAAGAATGTCAAATCAATTTTATATACATACTCACAACGATCTCTATAAATCAGAAGTGTATATTTGTTTTATAGTTTCACCACTTGAATTTGTTTGGTGTCTACTGGTATTGATATTTATTTTATTGATAGCCGATCCGAACTAGTTTGGATTGAGGCTGCTTTGTTACTCTATAAATGTTTTTGGAGGTTTTCATGGTTGCCGTGTTTACTAAATTCACAGGTTTATGAGACACCCTGCTTTTTCTTGGTTTTCTGGTCAGTTCCTGTGAAGTGTACTCTTCTCTGAACATTTCCAGCCTCACTGAATTGATAATGCTTTCTTGTTATATTCTATTCAACGAATGTTATTTCTGCTTATTCGGAAAAAAAACTTGTTTCTGCTTCACTTGTTCGCGAACCCATTCCATTGGCTTTCACTGGGATGCTGGTTATTCCTTATGCGTGTCAGTCGCCCTTTGTAAGAATCAGCTATTAGCACAAAAAAAGGAACGGAGAGTTTGTCCAGGTAGCAAGCCACAGCTGGGTTGAGAATATGGCCTCTCCAAAGGTATCAGCTTAAAGAAGATGTGGAATTGCAAAAATTTACTTGTGGGAAAAAAAAACTTCGTTGATACAAACTTATGAATAGGTATATATAGATACTTATCAAAAGAAAATTTTGGGTATGTCGATTCACCGTATTCGTATACCCTTATTAAAAAAGGTACATGAGTACGGTGGATCGGCATACCCGATTTTAAGCTCCTTTGATTTTGCGGCTGGTTGATGGGAGGGAGTTCAAAAGGAAGTTAAAAGTTAAGATTTGTTGTAAGGACCTTATGCAAGGGGAAAATTATCTGAAAAAACCTGTTCTCTACTTTGTGATATAGATACCAACATAACCTATGTCTTTGTTCGAATCATCCACTCAATCGTGTATGTGTGATTTATTTACGTGGAAAATATGCTTGCTGTTATTGCATACTATTAGAAAAATTAGTCTTATTTGTTATTCTACTGTTCTAATCCTAGGTTCAACTGAATTTCTTTTGTAGGTTCCTCGTCTAGTCAGAATGCATTCAAATGAGATGGAGGTTTGTCAGCCACGCCTTGCGCTTTTGACTTCTTGACTAAATTCATTTTATCTGACTATGTTGGACAATATATATTTTGTATTACTCTTTAATTGAATGAACCTTGGAGGAAATTTAAATAGATTTTAGTAGGGACAAAATGAATCTTTTGCATGGGTTAGCGGTATTTCTAAATTGGCCATCTTTCTTATCTTTGAGAAATGTATTATCAACTCTAATCATAGGATATCCAAGAGGCTCATGCCGGGCAGATAGTTGCTGTGTTTGGTGTAGATTGTGCTTCAGGTAACATCTTATTCTATCCTTAGATGACTTAGTGAGAAGAAGCATATATCTTTTCTTTGTGATGTATTCTGATGCTTAGTTCTGATCCATTTGCAGGGGATACTTTTACTGATGGATCAGTTAAATACACCATGACTTCTATGAATGTCCCTGAACCAGTGATGTCATTAGCTGTTTCACCGGTTTCTAAAGACTCTGGTGGTCAAGTGAGTGCTCATACTAGAACCTGTTGTTCTGTTGGATCTACAAGGTGTGCACTCTATGCCATTGTTTTTTGAGCCTATTATAATTGTTGTCTCTTTTTGGTTGGCAGTTCTCAAAAGCTTTAAATCGCTTTCAGAGGGAGGATCCTACATTCCGTGTGGGTTTAGATGCTGAGAGTGGTGAGGTATGTTTTGTTTACCCCACATGTGGGCTCCATATTTAAAATGTTATGTGAATTGTCGATCTTATGGGGTGAGTCTCTCAATGTCTCAATGGTTTCCTGAGCAGACAATCATATCTGGCATGGGGGAGCTGCATCTGGACATATATGTTGAGCGCATCCGAAGGGAATATAAGGTTCATCCTCTTTTTCACAGATAGTTATTTTCGTCGTGCACCATCATTTGTTTGATCCTTTGATCCTTTTCTTACTTTCTCCATGTTTGTTAAGGTTGAAGCTCAGGTTGGAAAGCCTCGTGTAAACTTCAGGGAAACCATCACCAAGAGAGCAGATTTTGATTATCTACACAAGAAGCAAAGTGGTGGGCAAGGTCAATATGGTAGAGTAATTGGGTAAGTATAGATGTCTATATCATTTTGGTTAGTCCCTTTTTTTTATTGGGCTTATATGCTTGTTATGTGCAACTTATAAGGGCCTATAAATAATTACCATTAATTAAAGGAAGGGCAAGTGGAATAGAGAGGACTAATGCTAGTAATGTGATTTCCAACTTTCCTTTACCTTTCCAGCTAGCATCTGGAGATGAATTAGGCCCAAGATTCATTTCAGTTATAATTATGGCTTCTCCTTTTCTGCTAATATCTTGNAAACAAAAATCCCCTTCCTGCTTTAGATAGTAATTTAGAATGCTTACAGTTGGTGGCTCAATTACAGATCCCCGTGCATAGACTATTGTCTTGGGCTTGTATAATAGATAAGGTTTAACCACGAGTAGTTCACTAGTTCTTCTACATTCCCCCTCCATTAAATCTGGCCTAAAAAAATTAAATCTGGCATAACCAAGAGTATGTTTGTTGAACCTGAGAGAGTTGGTTAGGGAGGGGGAGTTAGCTGATTATATTTTCGTTCATTTTGTGGCATTTTTGATATTCATGTTTCCTCGATGCTTTATTTCTACAGGTATGTTGAACCTCTCGAACAAGGGTCAGGCAGTAAGTTTGAATTTGACAACATGCTTGTTGGTCAAGCTATACCATCAAACTTCGTCCCTGCAATTGAAAAGGGTTTCAGGGAGGCTGCCAATTCGTAAGTATTCTCTTCTAATTTCAACTATGACTTGCCTGGAGATTCTTGGATATGTCTGCTGCTTTTCTTCAAGTTAAGAATTTAGCCAGTACTGTATTATGTAATTGCTTTTCTTCAAGTCAATGATCTAGTCGGTACTGTATTATGTAATTGCTTAGGAACTATCAAAGCTTAGTCAATTCAAGATTCAGTGGAGATCTTCTCATGACATGCTTGCCTAGTTCCCTTTACATGTTTTTGATTGAGTACAAATCTGGATCTTTCTGTGTTCCAGGGGTTCTCTGATTGGTCATCCAGTTGAAAATATCCGTGTTGTTTTGACGGATGGTAACTCACATGCTGTTGATTCAAGTGAACTTGCGTTCAAATTAGCTTCCATTTATGCTTTTAGACAGGTAACACATTCATCCAGCTGATCGGTAGACAATTACTCTTATGCTTGCTTGTACCTCCAACTTCCTGCCCTTTCTCTCTTTTCTCAGCTTGGTGAGCCTTACCGAAGTTGCATATGCTTGCAGTGATTTAACCATTTCCTCATTGTGTGTCACTAATTTCATTGCAAAACAGTGTTATGCTGCAGCAAAGCCTATCATATTGGAACCTGTGATGCTGGTGGAAATGAAAGTCCCAACAGAATTTCAGGGCACTGTTACTGGGGATATAAATAAGTTAGTGAACTTCTTTCTGGGAGTATGTTATTAAGATTTGAGAAACTGATTTATGCTTTTCTAACCATGCTCTTCATTTTTCTTGTTTTCTTAATATCACAGGAGGAAAGGTGTCATAATCGGCAATGACCAGGAAGGAGATGACTCTGTAATTACTGCCCATGTATGTTTATCTTTCTTTGCTCTTTAAGCTGTATTTTCTTCAGTTGTATTTTGAATTGATTTTTGGTGCCTCTTGCTGTCAGTATATATTGTTGCTTATTTAATCATGTTCTCCATCCCCTTTCTTTGTTCTGTTTGGGTGGCTTTATGTGATTATAAAAATCCACTTCCGAACACAGGTCCAGCAATCAATCGTTCATGCGTTTTTTTAGGTATAGAAGTGGCTGAAAAATGGCCGTAATGCATATCATAGTGGCATGTGTGTGAAACTTAATCATCATATGTTAACGTTGACATCTTTCTTTTTACCTACTGTTCAGATTTCATTCGAGCTGTTCTGTACTGTTAAATTCTCTACCTTTCTGCCAGTTTAGTGCTACTACAATTGAGAAACTTCAGTTGACCATGCCTCTGTTTTTTCTTATTCCAGTTTGCTCTTTGCTTACCTCTACGAATACTCTTGCAATTTTTGAATCTCCACAGTTGTTACAAAAAGTTTGGATATTGCAACAATTTATGGATTGTGCATGAGTTATAAGTTGCAGAACCATCATCTTGCTTATGCTTTTTATGTTTGATGGGTTTCTCCTTTCTGTAAGAAGAAATAAAAGAAATACTAAACCTCACGAGGAATTATAAACTCCCAATTCCCTGTTCATCAGTGCTTTTGGAGTCTTACGTAGGCGTTTGGACGTAAATAATTTATTATTTGCAATTCAATGTTTGTTTTAAAATTTTGTCCATTATTCAACTTCAACTTGAAATAGAGAATCTAGTTTGAGGAGTATTTTAAGTGAAACAATGGTTTTCACTCATAAGATGTAAACTGTTTTCAAGTGCAATTCATGTCCAAACACAATTTCAATTTCCAAATACTTTTTTTCAACTTCAAGTACTTGTTTTTTCAACTTCAACTTCAAGTTCTTGCTTTTCAACTCCAACCAAGTATTTGTACAAATGGGCCCACATGTCACATTGTTATGTTCATCTTCCTTGAAAAATGTGAAATACCTTTTTATAATCTTATGGTCGAGAAATCATTTAGTTTAGCTTTGGAATTCGGTGGATAATGGGCATCTCTCCAGCCTTTCCACTTGAATACCATACTTGGTGCAACAACCAGGTTTCAAACTAGTTACCTGTGTCTACTACGCATCCCGACTTGTACTATCTTTGCTGTTGAACTAAAGCCCTGGGGGTAAAAGGTTTTTAATACCTAAGGCAATATTTTTTGCTTATTGTTGTCTTTTGACCAAGGGCAACACCAGAACAAGTTGGTGATCGGCTGAATCTCTGGCTTACCCTTGGTGAAAAAGAATACTCTGCACCGAATGATATTTATTGTAGCATTCTAGTATATGTGTGACAAAGTTGTGTGAGAAAGATGGATCATGCTTATTTGCTAGTGTATTTATCTAATAATTAATACCTTACGCAAACAATGTCTACAGATCAGTTTTCAGGCAAGGAAGATGCAAAGTTATGAGAACTTGTTATCTTGTAGATTCATGAAACTTCAAGAGCATGTTACTTGCATATGTTTGCTGCTTTGACACTGGGATACAACAACAACATTAACCCACTAAAATCCCACAAGTGAGGTCTGGGGAGGGTAGAGTGTACGCAGACCTTGCCTCTACCCCAAGGGGTAGAGAGGCTGTTTCTGATAGACCCTCGGCTCAAGCAGACGAAAAAAATAATATATCAGTACCAACAGCAGAAAGCATAAAAATAATAACAGAATCAAAAGTACCAGAAAATAGATGAAAAACAATAACAGTAGCACGTAAGAAAGGCTCGGTACTATGAATAGTGAAAGAGAAGTGTGGACACAACAATAACCACTAGCACTCTAGGACACAACCCTGTCAGACTAGCCTCTCACCTGGTGCGGAGTAGCAAAGAGCTCCGCTACCCCCTATCCTACAACTCTAATGCTAGACCTCCACACTTTCCTATCAAGGGCCATGTCCTCGGAAATCTGAAGCCTCGCCATGTCTTGCCTGATCACCTCTCCCCAATACTTCTTGGGCCGCCCTCTACCTTTCCTTATACTTGTCAAAGCTAACCGCTCACATCTCCTTACTGGGGCATTTGGACTTCTCCTCCGCCCGTGCCCGAACCATCTGAGCCTAACTTCCCGCATTTTGTCATCCATCGAGGCCATGCCCACCTTCTCCCGTATATTTTCATTCCTAATCTTATCCATCCTAGTGTGCCCGTACATCCACCTCAACATCCTCATTTCTGCTACTTTCATCCTCTGGATATGCGAGTTCTTAACCGACTAACACTCGGCCCCATATAACATGGCTGGTCTAACCACCGTTCTATAGAACTTACCTTTGAGCCTCAGTGACACCTTCTTGTCACATAGGACTCGAGATGCTAACCTCCACTTCATCCACCCCACCCCTATACGGTGCGCGACATATTCGTCGATCTCCCCATCCCCCTGTATACCCGACCCAAGGTACTTAAAACTGCTTTTCTTGGGGATGACCTGTGATTCAAGCATCACGTCCACGCCCACTTCCCTCGACTCGGCGCTGAACTTGCACTCTAGGTATTCTGTCTTAGTTCTGCTAAACTTGAAACCTTTAGATTCAAGGGCCTGTCTCCAAACCTTCAGCCTCTCATTAACGCCGCCTCGCGTCTTATCAATCAGAACTATGTCGTCAGCGAATAACATACACCATGGCATCTCCCCTTGAATATGGTGCGTCAGTGCGTCCACCGGGGCAAATAAAAATGGACTAAGCGCAGATCCTTGGTGCAGCCCCATAACAACCGGAAAATGCTCAGAGTCGCCTCCCACCATCCTAACCCGGGTCTTAGCTCCCTCATACATGTCTTTAATCGCCCTGATGTAAGCAACCGGCACGCCTTTCGCCTCCAGGCATCTCCAAAGAACCTCCCTAGGTACCTTGTCATACGCTTTCTCCAGGTTAATAAACACCATATGCAGATCCTTCTTCCTATTCCTGTAATGTTCCACCAACCTCCTAATAAGGTGGATAGCCTCCGTAGTTGAACGACCCGGCATGAACTCGAACTGGTTATCAGATACAGACACAGTTCTCCTCACCCTCTTTTCCACCACCCTCTCCTAAACTTTCATGGTATGACTTAGTAACTTGATATCCCTATAGTTATTACAATTCTGAATATTGCCTTTGTTCTTGTACAACGGTACCATCGTGCTCCACCTCCACTCATCCGGCATCCTCTTCGTCCTGAAAATAATATTGAACAGCCTAGTCAGCCACTCCAAACCTGCTTTACCCACAGTCCTCCAAAATTCAACCGGAATTTCGTCTGGTCCGGTCTCACTACCCCTACTCATCATACGCAACGCCTCCACGACCTCCTCAACCCTAATGCGTCTACAATACCCAAAGTCTCGGTGACTCACGTAATGTCCCAAAACACCTAGCACTATATCCCTGTCTCCATCTTCATTCATAAGTCTATAAAGGTAAGTCTGCCATCTCCTCTTAATTATTGCCTCTCCCATCAATACTCTGTCGTCCTCATTTCTGATGCACCTCACTTGGTCCAGATCCCGAGCCTTCCTCTCTCTTGCCTTGGCCAATCGGAAGAGCTTTTTATCCTCGCCTTTGTCCCCCAGTTCCTCATACAGACGAGCAAACGTAGCAGTCTTAACCTCCGTGACCGCCAACTTCGCCTCCCTCCTAGCTACCTTATACCTCTCTATGTTCGTTCTTCTCTCCTCCCCGTTTGTGCTCCCTACTAACCTCAGGTACGCCGCCTTCTTCTCTTCCACTTTACCTTGGACCACTTCATTCCACCACCAGTCGCCTTTGTGCCTGTCAGTGTATCCTTTCGAAACCCCTAACACCTCTTTTGCCGCCTCCCTAATACAGTCTGCCGTCGTCGCCCACATAGCACTCGCGTCTCCGCTACTCCTCCAGGCTCTTACTATCGATAACCTCCTCTCCAATTTCTGAGCTTTATCCTTAGTCAAGGCTCCCCACCTGATCCTCGGTCGTCCTCGTGCAGATCTCTTCTTTCTCTTAATCACGATACCGACGTCCCTCACCAAGAGCCTATGCTGCGTCGCGAGGGTCTCTCCCGGAATAACCTTGCAGTCCTTACGCAACCCTCTATCACACCTCCTAAGTAGGATGTAGTCAACCGGGGTCCTCGCCACCGTACTTTGGAAAGTAACTATAAATAATCTCCTCCATTCCTAACCCCAACGCCAAAGCCTCCATGCACCACGCCATAGCCATCAGAAGTCGACCCAATATGACCATTGAAATCTCCTCCTATAAATAACCTCTCAGCAAGCGGGATACTACGCACAACCTTATCCAACCCTTCCCAAAAGCGCCTTTGACCTCATCCAAGCCTGTATGCGGCGCGTAAGCGCTAATTACATTTAGAGTGCACTTCTCAACCACTAGCTTAATGGTCATTAATCTATCACTCACCCGCCTGACCTCTACCACCAACTCTCGAAGCTCCCTGTCCACCAAAATATCCACTCCATTCTTACCCTTCGTGACTCCAGAGTACCACAACTTATACCCGTCCGCATCCCTCGCCCTCGATCCTACCCACCCAGTCTCCTGGACACAAGGTATATTAACCTTCCTCCTCTGAAGAATCTTTGCTAACTCTATAGACTTACCCGTCAGTGTTCCTGCGTTCCATGACCCAATTCTCAACCTAGATGTTCGCTTGTTCCCCTTGCCTCCCGTCCCACCCCCTGTGCCCTGCCCTTCCCCCCG